GGGGGGGGGGGTAATCAGCTGTTGCATTCCCCTGTGATTGTGATACAGCAAGAGTGTGCGTGTCCATATTTAGTCAGGGCTCCTCTGTGACCGCAGGGCCCCTGTGTGTGCGTCATTTACACCCTGTCTTGCCACACAGGTCCTCCTCCAGACGCGCGGCTGCCAGCCCACGCAACAGAACAATGTCCACAGAGCGTCCGAATGCAAACGTTTAACTAACTGCTCTGGATTCCCATGCAGTGCACAGGTGGTATTTTTAACCCTCCGAGCCTTCGCCAAAGGATCATAGAGCGAAAAGGAACAGAGTCCTCACTGCTTATATAACACTGCACCAAAGTATTCACGTCCAGTACTTCAGGGAAAGTACAAATGTAGCTGCTTCCAGACATGGACTCCGGATAATCTCCTGAGTTTCTCCAGACCAGTTCCATTCGGCCCGAAGGGAGCTGATGTGAGAACGCAGCGGGAGATCCTCCGCAGGATTCATCGCCAGCGGGTTGATGATGTTTCTAACACGCGTGATCTCGGCAGCAGAATGAAGACGTTACGCAGAGAATGTCCGAACACAATTCTGTGAACATTCTTCTGAAAACGACTCATGAGAATGTAAAAAATACTACAAGTAGAAGAGTCTCGTTCAAAATGCCACTTGAAGAATCACAAGTTTGAAATCTCACTCTGCAGAAAATGACTCCAGGTTGAATTTAAAAGTAAACTACTTTACTCATAGCTTGGTAGTCTGGTCCAGAGGTCGAGCCCCTCTCAAGGGTCTAAAGATAATCTAAAGGTTTAAAAAAAGCTTTGAATGTCTCTTGAATGACTCTTCTCTGATGTAACCTCTGTGTTTTTCTATAATTTCAGAAACACATAAAGAGTTTGCTTCCATTCTCCTGGTGCAGGCGCCGGTGGATGTGCAGTAGGTGAGCGTTGTGAAGCACTGACACGATGCACACCGGCCCATTACTGCTTATCCTCACAGCACAATATTTAGATTTGGACCTGCTGGGACTGGGGTCTGCGCTCCGTCAGAGCAAGTCTGTAAACACTGAGCTTGTTTCATGTGTCGAGGACGACTGTGGACAAAAACACCACCTCCTTGTACGGTCACAGACAAACTGAAGTGTGCACGGACCCGTCTTTCTTTTTTTTGTCACTTGTACTTTTGTTTCTGTTTATTGATTTGTCGTGTTGACCTCAGGGTTGTTCTCTACTAACATTTTGTCTTGAGTTGCATTTTGGTCTTTCTAACTTAAAGTCCTCTCTCTGCTGCGCTGGACTCTTTATTTTATTTCCACCATCACTGCAGCCAGAAGGTCACAGCTGCGTCTTCACAGAACATCTTTTAACAGTTAGTCCAGTACTCCTGATGGTTTCTGGGTATCCAGCGTGTAATAGGAAATTCCTGTGGTCACTTTATCCTCCGTGCTCATTATTTCTCATGATAATATATAATAATATGTCTTTGGTTATTGTGAGTGGGCGGCTCAGAATAAATGAAGTGTCTCGTTTTAATTTGTCTCATCGACCTTCTCTGCTCGACTCACACACTCTACCTCTCGGCCTCTTTTAAATCTCTCTCTTTTTGAAACCTTAATGAAAGTTTGGTTTGTTTTCATTTACATTGTTTTAATTTTGATTTAGTAACTTTTAACCGCTTTATCTTTTATGTGGCCAACGCCCCGTTTGGGTTTAACTTCCTGCCAAGCAGTTTGAAAGATTTTTTAGAAAAGTGCTTCTTATAAGTATTGTACTAAAAATAATAATACTACTGACTATTATGGAGTCAGTCATGATCAAGGCCTGGTGGAGTCGGGACGTAAACGCTACTCTTCTTACCTGGAAGCGGCGATCTCGGCCTTCTGCTTGCCGATGGCAGCCGCCCGCTGCGCTCCCTCCACCGCCCGCTCCACCTTCTGCTTGATCTTGGTTCCCTTCAGCTGGATCACCCTCTTCTTCATGGCTTTCACCAGCATGTTGTTCATGTACTTGCCCTCCTCTTTCCCTCCCTCTGCGAAGGTGGTGCATCCGTAGCCGTGTCTCTGGTTGTTCAGCCACTCGCCCTCATACTTCAGCCCGCTGGACCTTTCGCTTATTCCATATCCCGAGCGCTTGTCGTTCTTCCACTCGCCCATGTAGACCTCTGTGGTGGTGGCGTCGATGTCGGCCTCCACAGGGGGGAAATCCTCGGCTCCGGCCAGGCTCTCGTCCCCGATGCTGATGGTGGAGTTGGTGTCGCTGGCGTTGGAGCTGAGGGCGGATTCCGTCCTCAGGAAGCTGATCTTGCTCTTCTGGCTGGATAGCGAGGTGCTGGAGTCGGACTTCTTCAGCTTACCCAGAAGAGAACCCCTGCGAAACAGGCCCTTCTTCTTGGGTTTCATCGCCTCCGGGTCCACCTGGAGAGTGAGGGCGAAGCCTCCGCGGGATGGTCCCAGCTGGGTCGGCGTGGCGACAGGGGTCTCCTCACCTGAGGCATTGGTGGTGGTGATGATGGGGATGTCTTGTTGCAAGACGGTGCCGTTGCTGTGCTCGCTGCGAAGGGAGGTCAAAGAGGTACGAAGCGGGGAGCGGACAACTGCAGCCATTCCGTAGGGGACGCTCTGACGGACACCGTAGCCGTGCCGCATCCCACCAGTGAACTGACCCTGGAAGGTACCTGCAAACATCAGACAACAGGGAGCTTTGATTATTTAGAATAAAAATAGAAGCATTTCCTGACGGTCCATCTGAGCTAGTAAGGTAATTTACACGTCTGAGCGTGCGAGTGTAATCACGTGGCCTCTCACATCAAACATCTTCATGCTCCCACTTCCACAGATAATGGAAAACAACGAGATTTTGCAGTTGACAAACAAAAACATCGACTATGTGCATTGAACAAATCAAAGATTATGGGAGTCAGGATTTTCTTTGTTTAAACAAAGATAAAACTGAAGTTATTGTTTTTGGAGGCAGGGAAGTTCGATTAAATCTCTCGTAGTCACAGACTCAAACCTGAAGAACATATCGAGGATTAGACGATTTGATTTCTCGGCAGGATTTGGTGAAAGCTGCCCGTGCATGCCGTGTTCACGGGTCTCTCTACAGAATCCATCAGAAGGTCGAGTCCTCGCTGACACCAAGGAAGTGGATCACATCTCTGCAGCTCTGAAATCTTTACCCTGGTTCCCTCCCACAGTTTTGCAAATTTCTAAAATCCTGCTGTTGGTCTGTAAAACACAGAAGGTTTAAAATCTATTCCTGATCTGCTGCTTCGTTATGACTCAGACTCGTCAGGTCGTTCTGTCCCCGGAGTCAAAACTAAACATGGAGGAGCAGCGTTCACTTTCTACGTTCCACATACGAGAACTGTCACTTTCACATTTTTTCATCCGGCGATATTATCTGGTCAAAATGAGTCCAAATACTTTGCGACCTACAAGAGCGAAGACGATTCCGCCTATTTGTGTTTAGCGCTAATTAGCATTGTCTGTGTAAACGCGTTGACACTATGGAGACAGAATCCGTCCCTCTATATAAAACTGCTCGATCTTTTATTTGTGTCGTGTTGGAATCTTCGGCGTGAAAAGGCTCCGTCAGTCATGCACTCGCTGACAAGTCGTCTCTGGGTTTGGTCTCATGCTAAAATTGACATGCGTGTGGATTAAAGTGAACGCGAGGCCTCAGCCTGTGAGGCCAGGAGGGCACGGGGGCCCGTGGGCTATTATTACATGCTGACATCTGGTGCTATCACAACCCCCCCCCCCCCCCCCCCCACGCAGCGTCCGGCCCACTGGGCTTCAGGCTGATGAGTCAGCTGTTACGGAGGGAAAAACGACTGCTGTGGTACAACATCGATTTTAAACACGTCCAACTTAGTTCACTTCACCTACACGTTATAGTTCAGGAGCGCTCCGGATCCACCAGAAGCTTCCAGAGAGATTTATGGATGGAAACATGTAACTTGAGAGAAGAACTCGGCCGGAGTGAAGGGATAGTAAACGTGTTGATGGTTTGTGGTGGAAGGGAATCGAGTAATTGTTCATATGTTACTTGAGTTATATATTTTATACATCAATATGATATTATTTCTATTTTACTGCATTTATTTCAAAACTAACGTAACTTTGCAGATTTGGGTTTTACACGAAAATACAATTTCTATATTTTTACAGATTAAAAAGTGAAATAAAGTTGTTAACGGCAGCTTTTACTAACTTGACAGTGTTGAAATCTATAAATACAGATCTGAACACAACCCTGTCATGCAGTGTCACTTATTGGAATATATAATATAATCATATAATCCAGAGGTGGCCTTCTGCTCTATCATGAGAACAATTTGCTTTTCAAACTTTAAGAACTTTTGCAGTTACCGATGGAATGCTTAAACAAAACGGAAATGTTCCTGTGGGGTTTGGATTTCCGACGAGCTTGGAGCAGCTCTTGACTGACAGCAGCAGAGCGATACTTTCTTCTGGTTACACGGACGTTATAAACCCAGAGGATCCTCTTCGCTCGTTTGTTTTCATGTCACCTGCAATGAACTTAGTGCTGTGGACCATAATGGACGACGCCAAGTAGTTTAGAAGTAGTATTTCAGTTCTGTACTCAAGTACAATTTCAAGGTTTTTCTACTTTACAAGAAGAAAAGTAGTTTTCTCTTCACCAAGTTAATTAGATTTAAAATTCAAAATATAACCAGCAGTGTTTAAAGCAGGGCCGGCACCTGGGGGGGGGGGGGGGGGTCAGATTGTCCCCTGAAGCCCCCCTGTCCTCTCATAAGAAAGTAAAGGATTCACTTATACCAACAATACTAACACTTCAAACATCTTTATACTTTCAAAGTTTATTTAAAGATGTGAGGTTTTGCTCGAAGCTGCAGAGCTACAACACGAAACCATCAACGTGTCATCAAACTGAATCAGGTCTCATTGAAGCTGAACAGATAATTGGCCCCTCTGTGTAAAGTGTGGCCCCTGGTTCAGGTTCCACCGCAGGAGTTGGAATGAAACATAAATAATAAATAATAATACTTTCACTTTATTCATGAGGCACCTTTATAAAACACTTACAAGGCGAGTGACAGGTTAAAACTATAAATGAAGCAGGCTATTTATAGGTTCGACTTCCAGATGAATCCATCCTCACTCTGTGGTACTTCAAGTTTATGTTCAAGTTAAATGACTTGTTGTATTTCTACACAGTGTCTTACCTCCATCAGCGTATGTTTCTGTTCCGTATCCATCCTGAAGTCCATTATTCCACGTTCCCTCATACTTGGCTCCGCTGCCCACACTGAGCCTGATGCCATATCTCCCCTTGAAGCCATGAGTCCATTCCCCTTTGTAAATCCAGTGTCCTTTGGTTTCCACTCCCAGACCATGACGCTTCCCCTGCGACCAGTACCCCTCGTAGGTGTTCCCACTGGGCCAGGTGTAGACCCCCACCACCTCGAAGCCGTAGTTCCAGGAGCCGGAGAACTCCCCCTGGCCCTTGGGTCCGGTGCAGATACCGTGGCCGTGGGCCTTCCCCCCCTCCCAGCCTCCGCAGTAAGCTCCACCGTCGTCGAACTCGAAGCGACCCCCGCTCATGCCTCCGCCGCGGCGCAATTACGCACGGGTCAGAAAGTAAAGCTGCGTCCCGCTGTGTTACCTGGATGAAGATTGGAGCTCCGTCGGTGTGACCTCACCTCCACCTGACATGAACACGGACCGGAGGTGTCCTCGGGGCTCAGGCTGTGGCGGTGTCTTCCTCTGGGCTGGGGTTTGTGTCCATGAAGGCGCAATTTATTTTTATCCAGATTCTTCCAGCGTTGGATTCTTCATGGACTGTCGACTCTAAACACAGCTCGTCTCTAGAATAGATTAAACCCTGTTGCGTTCACGTGGAGCCAATTACTTGTTGATGCAGTGAAATGGAATTATTTCTGTGTGTGAGTCTGGATGAGGAGCCGGAGATCCTCCATGGCCACAGAGAAAAAGCCCCTCTCTCTCCCCCTGTCCTGTCCCTGCTGCCACCAGCTATCTCCTGACAGTCGCTGCTGTTGGAAATATTTTAGCAGACCTAACAAGGCTAACCCCCCCTCCCCCCCACCACACACACACACACACACACACACACACAC